AAGGGAAGTATAGTCGCGTGGCAATTTTTGACTCTTCCCCTATAGTATATCCTCAATATGACACATCTCTGTTCAACAAGAAAATGTATCTTATCTATTATATGTATTATATGTATAAGGTTTTCATTGCACTTACATATTTACATAGTAAAATATAGTACATTTCATAATGTACAGTAAAGTATCTGAATTCTATACTTACCATTGTCATGTTTCATTATAGGTAACCATGGGAAACAAGGTAACTAAGAAGAAGAAGAACACCTACGATGTGACTGATCCCAAAGAAGCCAAAAATGACATTGCAGCAGAAGCAGTGGCTCAGGTAGCGGCAAAAGTTGAGGAGACTCTGCCACCTCTGGTGGAGGAAGTGACTGCTAAAGCTGTTACTGCTGTGGAGGAGGTTGTTGGTTCAGCAGTGACTGCAGTGACCGAAGCTCTGGGCATCACAGAGGAACCTAAACCCACTGAACCAGAGCCAGCCACACCAGAGCAACCACCTGCAAAAGAGGAGCCTACTCCAACACCTGAACCCGAATCTGTTCCAGCAAAAGAACCAGTGGTAGAACCAGAACCAACCCCTGAACCAGAGCCTGTGAAAGAACCAGAACCGGAGCCTGTGAAAGAACCAGAACCAGAGCCTGTAAAAGAACCAGAGCCGGTAAAAGAACCAGAGCCAGAACCGGTGAAAGAACCAGAGCCGGTATCAGAACCAGAACCGGTATCAGAACCAGAGCCGGTAAAAGAACCTGAGCCGGAGTCAGAACCAGAGCCGGTACCAGAACCAGAGCCGGTAAAAGAACCAGAGCCGGAGTCAGAACCAGAGCCGGTACCAGAACCAGAGCCGGTAAAAGAACCAGAGCCGGAACCAGAACAAGAACCAGAGCCGGTAAAAGAACCAGAGCTGGAGCCAGAACCAGAGCCGGTACCAGAACCAGAACCGGTTAAAGAACCAGAACCAGAGCCGGTACCAGAACCAGAGCCGGTAAAAGAACCAGAGCCGGTAAAAGAACCAGAACCAGAGCCGGTAAAAGAACCAGAGCCGGAGCCAGAACCAGAGCCGGTGCCAGAAGCAGAGCCGGTAAAAGAACCAGAGCCGGAACCAGAACCAGAGCCGGTGAAAGAACCAGAACCAGAGCTGGTGCCAGAACCAGAGCCGGTAAATGAACCGGAACCAGAGCCAATACCGGAACCAGAGGCGGCACCAGAACCAGAGCCGGAGCCAGAACCAGAGCTGGTGAAAGAAGCTGAACCAGAGCCGGTACCAGAACCAGAGCCGGTAAAAGAACCAGAACCAGAGCCGGTACCAGAAGCAGAGCTGGTGAATGAACCAGAACCAGAGCCAGTGACAGAACCAGAACCAGAGCCTGTGAAAGAACCAGAACCAGAGCCGGTACCAGAACCAGAGCCGGTGAAAGAATCAGAACCAGAGCCAGTGAAAGAATCAGAACCAGAGACTGTGAAAGAACCAGAGCCGGTGAAAGAACCAGAAACAGAGCAGATACTAGAACCACAGCAGGTAGCGGCACCAACCCCAGAACCAGAACCGGTGAAAGAATCAGAACCAGTGGAAGAACCAGTACCAGTGGTGGTAGCAACCCCTGAACCAAAGACGGTGGAAGAACCAGAACCAGAGTCTGTGAAAAACCTGGAACCAGAGCCTGTGGAAGAACCAGAGCCTGTGGAAGAACCAGAGCCTGTGGAAGAACCAGAGCCTGTGGAAGAACCAGAGACGGTAGCAGAACCAGAGCCAGTGGCAACTCCTGCTCCCGAACTAGAAGAGTCATCAACAGCAGCCCCAGAAACTCTAACTCCTGTAGAAGACACAAAAGAGGAGGATGGAGTAGAGGTCCCTGAGGAACCTGTATCAGTTGTGGAGGAGCCAGCTGAGCCAGAGGAATCTGTGGCACAAGAAGATGAGAAAGAGCCAGTGACAGCTGCAGATGGAGAGTCTCAAGAAGAACTTGTTACACAGGAATCTTCTGGGACTGAGACCGCTACAGAACCAGAAGAGGCTGAAGCTGTTCCAGAGATTGTGATTTCAGAAACTGTCTCTGGATGTGAAATTCCTGCTGAGGCTGAGGAGCCCCCAGAATCCTCAGCAGAAATTGAAAATGGGGAATTAGAAGGCCCTGTTGTTGCGGCAATCACAGAGGTGAATGGAGAGTGTGCAGAGTCTACCGACACCACTATTGAACAGACAGAGGAATGTGTTAACAGCAGTGAAATCCCAGAGGATGTACCTGTCACTAAGGCGGACTTGGAACTTAAAAAGGACATAAGTTTGAGTGGGGAAGTCGCAGAGGTTCATGATGCAGTGTCTAACATTGTGGAGGGTCTCAGCAGCACTGAAATCACCCAGGCAGTCTGAAACCATGCAATTAACTAGTCATAATGTGAAATCAGTTTAATCCTTCAGTGGTGCAAGAGAGCCATTAAGGTATCACAAATACAGCTGAAGTATAGTGGTAACCCAGGCCATGTTCTTTTTAATACCAAATCAAATGTACCCATTTGAGGACAGTCAGATGGGGAAGGGTAAATCGGAGAGGTCAGGAAAGAAAGTGATCCAATCAGCAAAGTGAAAGTGTTGGACAGTAATGAATTTCATGTCTTTGAGTGCACGCCAGCAGGATAATCTGCCTTTTTGAGAAGAGCATTCATTAAAAGTTTGTTATTCTGTTTTAGAAGTTCATACTGTATATTCTTACTATAAACTATATGCAGAGACATGAAATAATGTGTTGGGCTTTTATAAAAATGTGCCTGAGAGGATTGTTAAGTTTAAATTGATTGTTCGAATAGAGAATAAAAAGAGATATATCTTACAGTGATCTGTTGGTTTCCTCAGCTTTTGTAATGTTGAAATGCTTTTAACACAAAGTCTAACTTCACTGAAACATATTAACATTATAAACATATAGGTCCTGTTAATTAACAACTACAGTTTAACGTGCTACTCTGGTCGTGTTGAGCTGCTGCTTCGATATACTTGAAAGAGCAATGTCCCCTCAGTCACCAGGTACAGAGCAAATATTTTGGTTGGTTAAACATGTCTGGCTATTGTATCAAGTCTACATGACGTAACTAAGTAAACTCAAATGTTGCTGTATTCGAATGAAAAGTCAACTTTCTCAAATGGTTCCTTGCTTGCTTCTGGTGTTTTGTATGCTAACACTTCACTAATCCATACCACTGAGGGGAACTAAAGGGGGAAGACATGCCGATTTGCAGGAGGAAGAGAAAAAAAGTAAGAGAGGAAGTCTGAAATTTAAGCATGTTGCAATACAAAGAAGTACATTTTGTCTAACATGTAAGGTTACATAAAATTACACAATAAAGATAATCTGGGGTCATAGCATATTTTTACTTAATACCAACTTGTAGAATGTTGCCACGCCTGCTCCTCACACCGGAGTCCGATATTGAAAGGTCATTGTCATACAGGTGCACATATTTTAACAAATGAGGCTAAAGCTATCTGCAGGTTCAGTCATGAGGGGCAGAGGTAATGTTTGGTTGTAGGTGAAGGGGGAAGAGCGTGGCCATCCAACCCTGAAATAACTATGGTCTATGGGTCAAAGAATAGGACGAGATGAGAGAGTGATAGAGGAGAAGTAGCTTCATAAGAAGCCTATCCACATACCAATACTCTCCGGTTTCTAAAAAAAAGATATGCCGCCTGAACATTTATGAAAGGAATGCTGTAAAGAGGGCTTGGGGGCCCAGAGGATGAACTTGCTGGCATGTTTTTCTTTCTTCTTGCAGCACAGTTATGTCTCTATTTACATGTGGGTTGCTGCAACAGGCTGCTAAAAGGAACCAAAAATATTTGCAACCAGGCCATTAAACTTAGATCTAAATAGTGTAACAGAACGTTCCAAATGTATAAGAACAATTTCAGTATTAGTTTAGCAATCTAATTCAATAATAGGTGTGCTCTCTTCTCTAATGCAAGTTGCAAGTAACTATAATTGTATAAAATGGCTAAAAATTCTCCTCCACACTCACTCGTCACTGTATATGCCCCACTGTGTGTGTGTTTGTATGTCTTGTGCATCTTGATTTAAAGAGTTCTTTAAAGTGGCATAGTTTGGAAAGGCCAGCTGCACTGCCTGGTTACGCTAACACTATGTTCTCTATATGCAGCCTCCTGCACAAAGCAGGGACTGTGTTTGAGCTCCTTTTTCACTGTGAAAACTAGTCTGCAGACTTTTGCTTTCCTCAAATGAAGCTTGCAAGAAGAAAAGGAAAATGTGAACTAAATCCAAAGCCTATCAATTTCAAGAGGTCTTGACCTGCTGGAATCAGCCTCAGTCCAGTGTCCACAACAGTGTTTTGATACTGTATCTTTTACTTTGATTATTATTATTATTATTATTATTATTATTATTATTATTATTATTATTATTATTATTATTATTTCAATTTAGCACATAACTGTGTGGCTGTGTTTGTTCTGAAAATAAGTATATAATTTTATTAATTGCCTGTAAAGAAATATGCAAGTTGACTTTTTGGGAATGCCACACCAGTTGGTAAATGCTGGCAACTGATCAGTTTTAATATTTCAGAATGGGGTAACTGCAGATGACTAAAACACAGGAACTCTTGATTCTTCAGTCAGACACATCTCACTCTGATCCAGGAGACTTGTTGATTTGATCTATAAGTAGGCATTTCTGAGGAGCAGCTTGAAGTAGTTTTCACAGTTCTTTGACATAGGGCTGACTGATTTTTGTGGCTCTGACACCCATTGTTGGCACACATTAAAGCCATTAGCACCATCTTTCTTCTTTCCTCTGTAAATATCTTTATCCTTTTATTATTGCCTTGCTCCTGCCCTGGTGTCTCATTGTCCATTCTGAGTCCACCCATCTGGACATGTCCACTAATGCTGTCATTGTATCAGGACAGCCAGAAGCCTATTAGACAGACCTCAGTGGTAATAAGGATCAATATTGATCCATTGGTTTAGCCTAATGGATACTCAGAGAGGTAGTACTTCCCCTTTGTCTGTAGCAGAAGCCATCACCCCTGAGTCCACACACATGTGCCCTGCATCTCTCTCATGCACACACCTAAACACACGTGCACACACACAATATATTCACATACACACAACACACGCACACACAGCACATAGGCACACACACAAAGACATAGCTTTCTGTTTTCCTGACTCTGCTGATGCAGCTGCCCCTAAGAGCACTTTACAGCTGCCCATTCTCTGTCCGCACTGTTGTGTTGAGGCCGAAGATGAAGACTGTGTGAGGGATAAAAGTGGGCTGTAGTTTCTGTTTACACATTATTTGAGACACATTTGCAACTCACAGGGCTCCAGGCCTTTATGCCTCAGCAAGGGCCCTCTTGTATCATAGAACAGAGACAAGATCTGCTGTAGATGCACACTAATTGTACTGTCAACTATAGTTTTTGAGACGGCAACAGAGCTTCACTGCTTCATGCACTTTTCATTTTGGCTCATCAATTGCTACTGTTTCCAATGCAAACTTAAGCTTTTCTATCAACGGCTATTTAATGTTATAGAGTTTTCAGCAGCAATAATAAAGTGAATGCAATAAATATAACAATAACCATTTTGATTTTGAGCTAGTTAAAAAAAAATAGTATTACTATTTACTATTCTGCTAAAACAAGGATTCAGATTATTGTAGGAGGATAGTGTAGTGTATTTGACAGTAGGTTAATAGTAAAAAGAAAATAATTTCAACTAAGGAGATATGCTTCTACAGTGTTTGTCCATCTTATCTGTAAAGTGCAATTGAAAGAGTAGCTTACATGAGAGTATGGTATGTGTTTTAGATAGCAGCTGAAACTCAGTCACCTTGTTCAGGCCTCAGGGCTCTATATGTTGCAAAACCTCCAGAGCAGTTCTCGGAGTGATTTACACTGTATGTGACTTAGTCATGCTACTCACAATACATTTATAAGGAAGTACTTCCTTTTTCAATGCCATAGGCCTACTCCTTTGTAGTAAAATGACAGTAGTAAATTCCATTAGCTGGATCGAGCATGTCTGTGTCCACTGGGCACAGATGACCTTCAGTGTGCCTCCAGTGACACAGCTAAATCAAAGATACTGCTTGTTTAAGACAGTCAGTGCACATGGGCGTTCAGGCCCTGGTGAATAATTTATATGTGAAATGAAACGACCTCTGGCACTTTGCAGACAGGCGGGCAAGGACTAAAGCGACAGAGAAGGGGGCTGGCTGAGGAAAGTTGTTTATTATGTTTATATTTCACAGAATGTTTTAGAGAAGGACAGAGTGCGGAATGTGAGGAAGAAAAAGGGAACTGATATCCAATCTCTCACCAGGAGTCAGCAGCGATGCATGTCAAAGAGCGCTTCTGACCTGTTAGTGCCGCCTCTTCATATGTGCACTTCTCATGTCCTGTGTTTCAGTCCCAGCAGGAGTCCCCGTGTTAGAGAGGGCCGGTGTTTCTAAAACTAAAGGGAGCCAGCTTTCATACTGTGCTTGATGTATGACTTAGTAGGGTAAAAGCCGTGGGACAGGAAGTTCACAGGGTTTACAAAGGTGAGGGTCTGATATGAAGATTTTTGATGTTGGTGATGGTTTGGTTTGAGGAATACATTTTGTCCAGAAAGGCTCTTGCTGTGCACGGTTACCTGTGTGTGGGTATTATAGGAAAGAATGTGGTATTTCAGGCTGTCATACCAGTCACTCAATCGCCCTGTCAACTACACTATAATAATGTAGCCCCACAGTGCAGCATTACATTTCCTTTTAATGGTCAGCTTCCTGAAATGTTTGTTTTCATCTGCATCCCGATAAACTCTTTACTTGTAAAATTTCTTTGATGATTCAGTTAACATGTACTTTAGAGTAGGCTTGGCACCATCCAGGTTCACTTTGTGTTACATTCCCACAGTGCTAACCAGGTAATATTAATCCCCTTTAATCCATTCACTGCAGTGGTATTTGTCATAGTGCCAGAAACATCAGATGAAGTAAAAAGCTGAGCCAGCTGCTCAGTAAGAGGATATGAAGCCAATCAATATAAGATTTTACGATGTCTAAAGCATCTGTCAGACTTACTGATTTTCTTGTTTGAGAATTATTTACATTCAAGAGTTGATGGAAATAAACAAAACAATACCAGTGACTATAAGATTACAACTAAAGTAAATTAATTACATTTCTCTTACTACTCTCTTCAGTGTTCTCTATCAGCATTTTGTGCAAGATTTTAAGTTGACTGAATTTAAAGGGTCCATTTTATACTATTTTCTCATCTATGTTATAATGTTATTTCCTAATCAAAAACATACCTTTCTGTTTTGTGTTTGTTTTGTTTCATTCACACCTGTTTAACACACAAATCCTGCATATTTAGGAGTTATTTTCTTAAATGGAAACACTCTGTTCCACCTTGTGATGTCATGTGATAATACAGGAAGTGCTCCATTGCATGTTCTTCACTAGAATCATTTGGATGATTTCAGCCTTGGAATTGCCAATCTCTTCTGAACCAAAGGTAAGGTAGCTGTTAACTTGAAAACTACCACTACATGACATCACAAGGTGGAAGAGAGCATTTTGAGCTTTGGAGTTATAGACAGGCTAATAATACAGCATTGTGTGAAAAGATGTGTGAATGAAACAAACACAACTCCAGAGAGATAGCAATATTATAACATGGCTTACACCTCATAAGAATCAATTAAGTGTAATATAGGACCTTTAAAACAAACTTGAACAATTTGATGCACTCTATACAGCTGACTGTAACTGTTTCAGTTGACTCATATTATTAATAACTTCTTGGTAGCACTTTATAATAACTGCTC